TCCCACCTATGAGTGAGAACATGTGGTGTTTGGTTTTCTGTCCTTGTGATAGTTTGCTGAGAATGATGGTAATGATAGACTGGATTAAGAAAACGTGGCATATATACACCATGGAACACTATGCAGCCATAGAAAAGGTTGAGCTCATGTCCTTTGCAGGGACATGGATGAAGCTGGATACAATAGTGCTTTGTGACGCATACAGTTTAATTTTGAAGTTTCAGTAAAGTCACCGTCTTTGTACCATAATGTACAATTAGTTGAATGTTGTCTTTACTTTTTGATAAAGTAGTTGAAAACTTACAATTCACTTTTCTAGTGCAGAGATCTTATAAATATGTAGTCAAAATAAATATGTAATCATCAGGGGTGGTATCAGGTGGTCTTTGGGCCTGTGCATTTCTGAAGTGAAAGAACAAAATTAAAGGAACTCTGTGAAATATAAAATACTCTGTTGAAAATTTTATCTAAAAGATGAGGTGTCTTTAGGAACTTAGGGTAATTTTTTTAACCCCAATGATAGAGCCCTCATTAAAGCATTTATTAGATTGTCACCTATTTGATTTTCATGTTTTCAGTGATATGAATTTAAGTGGAGCTTTACCTATATATGAATTAACTCATAAGGCTATAATACTCAAAGTGCTTCCCGCACACCCCGAATTCTTTGGTAAGAACACTTAACATGAGATCCATCCTCTTAACAAAATTATAAGTGTAGAATATATTATTGTTGACTTTTGGTACAACATTCTATAACAGAACCCTAAAGCTTATTCATCTTTTTTACCTGAAACTTTATGCCTATTGATTAGTAACTCATTTCCCCTTCCCCTTAGTCCCTGGAGATCACCATTCCACTCTTTGATTCTATTAATTCGACTATTTTAGATACCTCATACAAGTAGACTGGCAGTGTTTGTCATTCTGTAGTTTGTTGGATTTAGCATATTGTTTGCAAGGTTTATTGTCCCATATTGCAGAATTTCCTTTTAAGTCTGCATAGTTTGTATATGCAATTGCATATATAATATGATATATTCTTTATCCATTCATCTGTTGGTGGATGTTTAGGCTCCTTCCACATGTTAGCTACTGTGCATAGTGCTACAATAAACATGGTAGTGCTAATAATTTCTTTGGGATCCTGATTTCAGTTCTTTTGAATAAATGCCCAGAAATGGGATTGCTGGATAAAATGGTAGTTCTAGTTTTCATTTTTTTTTGGAAGCTCCGTGCTACTTTCCACAGTGGCTGTAACATTTTGCATTCCTAGCACCAGTGTACAAAGGTACCAGTTTCTCCACACCGTTGCCAACACTTGCGTTATCTTTTATTTTTGTTTTATAGTAGCCACCCTGACAGGCATGAAGTGATATCTCATTGTGGTTTTGACTTGCATTTCCCTAATGACTGCAAAAACTTTCGTAGTTCTATGTGATTTTTAAAATGTTATGCAAATAATTGAAATTGTCCTTCCCTTAAAATCCTTGTATTATAATCTTATTCAGAATTTTATATGGACAGTATTTTTTCTTTCACCTCTTTTCATTGAAAAATCTGAAACCTACAAAAAAGTTATAAAAATAGATCAACACTCATATATCCTTCACTTCATTAGTAAGTTTCATCACTTACTAATATTTTACCACATTTGCTTTCTTTTTATCTATCCACATGTATAGATTGTTGTAAAACTGTTTCAGTTTTAGTTGCAGACATCATGGTACTCTCCAGAATATTAGACCTCTCCTTCTTAAGAGATGTATGCTCCATTTCCTACATTATCATAACCGTGATTAGACTCAGGAAACTTAACACTGATGCAATAATATTGTCTAATATCAAATTTATATAAATGAATATCAGTATTCAAATTTCCTTAGTTGCCCCATATAGCTAGCCTACCACCCCACTGGAATATGTTTGGCTCTCATGTCCTTGCTCTGTTATTTTTAATGCCCAGTCTTTTTCTCTTTCCTTTTATATCTTTCACAGCACTCTGTAATTGATTTTTTTTGTTTGTTTTTGTTTTCTGAGATGGAGTCTTGCTTTGTCACCCAAGCTAGAGTGCAGTGGGGCTCTCTTGGCTCACTGCAGCCTCCGCCTCCCAGATTCAAGTGATTCTCCTGCCTCAGCAGGAGTAGCTGGGATTACAGGTGCACACCACTGTGCCCGGCTAATTTTTGTATTTTTACTTGAGACGAGGTTTCACCATGTTGGCCAGGCTGATCTTGAACTCCTGACCTCAAGCGATCTGTCCTCCTTGGCCTCCCAAAATGCTGAGCATGAACCTCTCTGCCCAGCCTCTATGATTGATATTTGAAATTCTATTTTTGTAGCATTAATTTTAATTTAGAACATTGTATATTCTGATGACAGCCAAGATTGGAATATAAATATTTTATGGCTTTTAAATGTAACTGGGTACTTTGGTTTTATTATCCCATTTGTAATTTATAGTATGTATTTCTTTTCTGCAATTTCTGGGAAAGTATACTCCCTATTTAAAACCAACACTGCCTCATTTTCCTTACCATTTGATTGTGTTGTCATATGCTTATTTTTAGTTGAGTATGAATGAGTTAGATACTTTGAAATCTGTTTTTACTCATTAATTGGCCTGCTTTTATGAGCTCATTGGAGTGATCTTTGAGATAGAACACTTAGCAATGTTGAGTACATGTTCCAGAAATATTATTATAGTCAAATTTTGAAAATAAGCTATTACATGATAAATATGTTCCAATAAGGTAATACCTATCTTAATATTTATTCACTTATATCTTACTGAGATGTTTGGGCAAATATTTAACTTCTTGTTTTTCTGCATTCCCCACCAATACTTCCACCACCAGCAAATTCTGTAGTTGTTTGGCTACCCTTTTAGAGTATTTTACTAGCATAATAAAGAAACTCATGCTTTCTGGGAACATTTTAAATTTTAATGCGTGATATTCATGTAGATAGTAGTGAAGCTATGAAGGTCTAGTGTTTTTGTTTCATCCCCAAGGATACTCTTATAGCAATTTCAAATACTGGAGCTGAAACGCTGTCCAGCATCATTGTAGATCCATTTTATTTTTCAAGAAACTACTGTTAGACTGAGCTGTGCTTCAGGGTAAAATTTAAAATCTGATTAACTTAATCCATGGCGAGCTTATCAGTTTTATCCTTTGAAAATGTTTTTTTCCTCTTGTGTTTCAACTGTACCTCGTGTACACCTTCATCATTACACTTCTCCTTTTTCATTTTAAGGGTTTGTCTGGCTCTCTTTGTATCCTTTTCTTTCCAGAGCCTTGTGTTCAGGGCCTGAAACTTGGAAGATATTTGTAGAATGAATGAATAAATGCTGACTTTTTAAAAAACAATAGTGTAATTTCCAATTTGGTAAGCTGTTTTATTAAAAAGAAGCAAGATATAACGGCATTTTCTGTTAACCTCTAAATAATTTTTTTTATATTCATAAGCGTTGTTTCATTCAGTACACTTGATAGTTGTTTAAAATTATTTTAAAATATTTACTATAGAGCCCTGGGCCTTTATGTAATGTCTAATTTTATTTCTTAAGGATGTAAGCTTAATACATTACATCTAATAAATATTAAATACGTGTTGCCTGGGACTTAATAGTGCTCTCAGTGTTTTTCAAAGTAAATTGCCTTCTTTACTAATAAAATTTTGTTGTTTCCTCTACTTATATTGTAATAGATACGACCATATGTGGGATGTTTGGTACAATATTTGCCCCTCCTTTGGAAGCAGAGTGAAGAACACAATATGTTGAGATGTGCTATTTTGACAACACTTATTCATCTTGTTCAGGTAAGTCACTTTTCCACAGAGTTTTTTTAGTTTAGTGGTTTTTTAAAAAAATTCTTGTAAACATTTAAAAATTGTTTTTATGTGATTTATGTTAATGGTAGTGAAAAACCTCACATATCATTTACTTTTTCCATGTGTGATCTAAACAGATTTAAAAACAACTTTTGCATGCTTATTTTGGACTTTTTTTTGAGGATGTGAAAAATATTATTCACTTTTAAAGAAGATGTCGTCTCCAGTAATGATAGACTCATGGTTCATGCAGTCCATGGCACCATGCATGCAGTTTCCTTGGTGGTCAGGGCTTTTCTGCTTAAACATACTTTATGTTTTCACTCTTTTTCCTTGATTTAAAATAAAAAATTTCCCTATTATAACTTGGGAAGGCAGGAAACCAGGTGAGTTGCTTTTGAGGGGAGACAAGTGAATTGGATTTCAGAGATTTTGACTTTTGAGGTGTTGGGATGTGGTAGCAGATAGAGAGGAACCTGAAACTTAGAGCTGGACTATAGTTCTCATTTGAACTGTTACAGTGAATCGTAGTCTCGTGAGAGTATGGAGAGGGAAGAGCTCAAGGCCATGAGTTAGAATATATGTGTGGGGATGCTCAAGTGATTTTACTGACTTCACCCACAAGTTTGAGAAATTTTCCAGTGGGGGAGAAATCAGAAGTACCCCTAAATTCAGAAGTACTACTCTAAAGCTTTCTAAAATTAGTTTAGAAAAAAACAAACTTTTCTCAGAAGCTTTGATACTTTTTTGAATTTGAGCTCATTCTTTCCATAAATGCTTTCTTTTTTATTTTCTTTTTCTTTTTGAGACGGAGTCTCGCGCTGTCTCCCAGACTGGAGCACAGTGGCGTGATCTTGGCTCACTGCAACCTCCGCCTCCTGGGTTCAAGCAAGTCTCCTGTCTCAGCCTCCCAAGTAGCTGGGATTACAGGTGCACGCCACCGTGCCTGGTTAATTTTTGTATTTTTAGTAGAGATGGTGTTTCACCATGTTGGCCAGGCTGATCTCAAACTCCTGACCTCAAGTGATCCGCCCACCTCAGGCTCCCAAAGTGCTAGGATTATAGTCGTGAGCCACCATGCCTGACCCCTCCATAAATGTTTATGGATGACTTTTAGTTACAGATTCCTGTCTAAGGCAGTTTCAGATAAATAGTAATGCAAAATATTTTTAATGCACATTTCCCTATTTTTTTTTCCTGTGGTAAAATACACATAACATAAAATTTACCGTTTTAACCACTTTTAAGTGTACGGTGAAGTGGTGTTAAATACATTCATAATGTTCAATTATCACTACCATCCATCTCTGTAACTCTTTTTATGTTGTGAAACTGAAGCTGTGCCATTAAACAATAACTCCACAGCTCCATCACTAAAGCACTTTAAAAAAATAAGTGGCCCAGAATCTTCCTGTCTACCCTTTAATGCTTATGATTACCTTATAAAGATTATGTCCATTTTATAGAAGAGGATACAGACTAAGAGAAGGTTACTGACTAGCTTGTGAATGCATTTATAAGTAATAGAAAAATGAGTGACCCCAGACATTTTGTATTATAACAGCCATCTCTGCCATTTTTTTGTTTTTGTTTTTGTTTTTTTTTGAGACAGAGTTTCGCTCTTGTTGCCCAGGCTGGCGTGCAATGGCATGATCTTGGCTCACCGCAGCCTCTACCTCCTGGGTTCAGGCAATTCTCCTGCCTCAACCTCCTGAGTAGCTGAGATTACAGGCATGCGCCACCACGCCTGGCTAATTTTTGTATTTTTAGTAGAAATGGGGTTTGTCCATGTTGGTCAGAGTGGTCTCGAACTAATGACTTCAGGTGATCTGCCTGCCTTGGCCTCCCAAGGTGCTGGGATTACAGGCGTGAGCCACCTCTCCTGGCCTCCAAAATGTATTTTTTTTTTTTTTTTTGAGACGGAGTCTCGCTCTGTCGCCCGGGCTGGAGTGCAGTGGCCGGATCTCAGCTCACTGCAAGCTCCACTTCCCAGGTTTACGCCATTCTCCTGCCTCAGCCTCCCGAGTAGCTGGGACCACAGGCGCCTGCCACCATGCCCGGCTAGTTTTTTTGTATTTTTTAGTAGAGACGGGGTTTCACCGGGTTAGCCAGGATGGTCTCGATCTCCTGACCTCGTGATCCGCCCATCTCGGCCTCCCAAAGTGCTGGGATTACAGGCGTGAGTCACCGCGCCCGGCCTCCAAAATGTATTTTTAAGCTCAACTTGGGAGTTTTGTGAGGGACATGTGACAAAACACCAGATTTTATGTCTCCTCAGGCAGTGTTACTTCAAGTTGTCTCAGGAAGTCAGTAACTCTTGTGGAATGTTAAGCCTATTTTCATTAATCATAACATTTAAGTACCCTGTATATTTATAGAGGCCAAGAGTGCAAGGTTCAACCAAGTAGTATTCTATCCTTCTTGGAGAAAGCATATAACATTTAATACCAAAATTGAGACTGTAGCTTAAAATATATTTTTCAGCCATTTGGGAAGATTATACTAAAGTTTATCGGTTGGCCAGGCACTGTGGCTTACGCCTGTAATCCCAGCATTTTTGGGAGGCCGAAGTGGGCAATTAGCTGAGGTCAGGAGTTCAAGACCAGCCTGGCCAACATAGTTAAACCCTGTGCCTACTAAAAATACAAAAATTAGGCTGGGCACAGTGGCTCACGCCTGTAATCCCAACATTTTAGGAGGCCAAGGCGAGTGGATCATGAGGTCAGGAGATTGAGACAATCCTGGCCAACGTGGTGAAACCCCGTCTCTACCAAAAATATAAAACTTAGCCAGGTGTGGTGGCACATGCCTGTAGTCCCAGCTACTCGGGAGGTTGAGGCAGGAGAATCGCTTGAACCTGAGAGGTGGAGGCTGCAGTGAGCTGAGATCGCGCCACTGTACTCCAGCCTGGGTGACGGAGCAAGACTCCGTCCCCCCCCAGAAAAAAACCCAAAAATTAACTGGGTGTGGTGGCACACACTTGTAGTCCCAGCTGTTTGGGAGAGCCAGGTGGGAGAATTGCTTGAACCCGGGAGGTGGAGGTTGCAGTGAGCCGAGATTGTGCCACTGCACTCTAGCCTGGGTGACAGAGTGAGACCCTGTCTCAAAAATAAAAAAAAATTTACTGGTAAATTTCCTTTCTTGCAAAATACTGCTATCTTTTGGCTTTTGACACATAACAGACATTAGTGTGAGTTTCTGTATGGTTTTGTTTTCGTTTTTTTAAACCTGGAAATCCAGATTCTGGTAGTCTTTGAAGAGAGTGGTCACTGGGTGAAAATAAACTTTCTAGTCTGCATAGTTGAACTTAGAGGAAGTAGGTATTCGTTCATACACTAAACATTTATTGAGAACCTGCAATGTGCAATACAGGGTAATAGGCACTGGGCTACAGAACAGAAATGAATAGAATGGGATCTCTGTGTGGGTGACTGTCTAGGGAAATACTGAATAAGTGTGTTAATTGCCCTTTTAGCAATTAAGAACATTTTGCTATTGGGGGTACATGGCCAATTCCCTGTGTCACACGGAGGGTGAGGTGGGGCACATTAGGGAAGGCCTCCTGACAGAGGTGTTACTCAAATTGTGGTGTTGTTAAATAGTGTTAAACAAGAAGTGTTATTTAGATGGTGGTTTAGCAATGAGAGTGGTAAAGGTATTTTAGACATATGAACCGGCATGTGTAAAACTCCGTTAGCATTAGAGAATGTAGTACAATTTATTTTTTTAAGGTTCATATACTGATCAGTTTTAATGTTGATAGATAAAGGAGTTAGTTCTTAAAGATGATTTTCAAATGAAAACTATCAGTACCCTGCTCTGCCTCCTCATTTCCTTTTTGGTGGAAGAATCCACTGTCAACTCTTAAAGCCAGATCATAGGTTTCTCAGTCTTTCTCACTGTAACATATTGTTTATTACTGATTTAAGCATTGTAGCCATTATTTCTTGACTTCCCTGCATAGAAGATGAAAATGTAATTCTTTTGTACCCCTGTGTCCTTCCTATTCTACCATCCTCCCAGTATACTTGATGGTATAAAGACTGTTGAAGGCATATATCATTATGTCATGATTAATTTTATTTCTTATACATAGTGTTTCCAACCTCCACCCTTGTATTAATAATTTTGTTTGCTTAGTGTTCTGAGAAAGTACCATAAACTTGGTGGCTTAAAACAATATGTATTTATTAGCTCATAGTTCTGTAAGTTAGAAACCTGGGCATGCCATGTCTAAATTCTCTGATTAGAGTTTAGTGGACTGAAATTGAGGTGACTGCCAGAATAAGTTCTTAGCTGGAGGCTTTGGGGAAGAATCTGTTTCCATACTCATTCAGCTTGTTGGCAGAATTTAGTTTGTTGATTTGTAGGACTAAGGTCCCAGTTTACTTGCTAGCTGTCATCTAGAGTCCCCTTTCGTTCCCAAGTCCAGCCACATTCTTTGACACATAGCCACTTTCATGTTCAAAGTCAGTGGAGACATTCTCAAATGTCAAATCCCCTTAGGGTTTTAATCTGTGACCTCCCTTTATGCCACTAGCTAGAGAATACTCTCTTTTAAAGGGCTCTTGTGAGTAGGTCAGGCACACCTGGATAATTTTCCTATCTAAGGTCAGTTGATTTGGGACTTTAATTACAACCGTAAATTATTTCTTCACAGTAGTACCTAGATTAGTGTTTGAATAACTAGGAAATGATGTGTGTACAGTAGTGGCCAAGAACCTAAGTGATCATCTTAGATTTCTGCTTAGTACACTTAGTTGTCTATGCAGTTGAACCTATTCTTTTCACTTGTTATCTGCACATTTCCTCAGTGATGTTTTGTTACTTTCATCATCTTGAAGAGACATGACATATTTTTTTTTTTTTTTACACTTTAAATTCTAGGGTACATGTGCACAGCGTGCAGGATTGTTACATATGTATACGTGTGCCATGTTGTTGTGCTGCACCCATTAACTCATCATTTACATGAGGTATTTCTCCTA